GGTTCAATATCGATACGAATATCGTTGCACCCCTAGTAAATAACTGAAGTTACAATCAAAGCAATACCTATGTTTGTTTGTAGGGGGCTTAATGTGATCCATCAGGGAGTCAGCAAAACACAGGATTTATTTCCTGATATAATTAAGCTGCAGAAAATTTCTGAGACATTCTGTTTTTGATATAATCTTGTGAGTCATTTAGTGATCTCAGCATGCTAAGGTCACAGGCTTTAACACCCAGCTGCACCAGAGTATCGTCAGCGTAGCAGTGCAGAGAAATACCTCATAATTGCATGTCAGGGGAAAATGAAACTGAGAGATAAAGTGGGAGCAAATACAAAGAAGATTTACATAAACTGTAAATGTGAAAACAAGTCAAAGTATATTTAGGCTCCACAGCTTGGATTTCCCCAAGTGTGCAAAATGAAACTCATGAGCTAACCTACTTTTTAAACTGAGGTCAAAATCACCAAAGCAGAAAAGTGTTGCACATTAGTAGAAGTAGAACACAGAGACATGCAAAGCCTAATGTATTTACTGCAAAAATCAATGGTGTGGATATTAATTGGCACCATTAACAGGGAACTGTTGATTTTAAAGGTATCATCATAATAGTGTATTCATACTTACAATGCATGAGAGTATGGTTCGGAACTTTGATAATCATAGAAGTAAAAGTGTCCAAAAAAATAATACAAAAAATAACATAGTAGTTTTTTTTTTTCAATTTGTTACCAGTAATTTGTAATGGAGTAGAATTGAATCTTGACAAAACAACAGTAAGAAAGAAGGTTTCTTTGATTTATTAATTAGGAAAAACTTGAATTCTGATAACCCTTTGTCCCACCAGGGGTTAATGTCACACAGGCAATACAATTCACATTGTCACACTTTTTCTTCTGTGACAAATTACTTCATATAACTGTGAACTGTTGTTAGTGGTGTGAATCATCCCTACCATCTTCTCACAAATATAATATAATGGTGGTGGTGTGAATCATAGGTTTGCAAGGTGTGGGGTGCCTGAGTCACACTCAATTCAAAATTATAGATGCATAAAATGAATCTTGTTCAACCCACGTTTATTTTTGCACAGCCCATTGTGATACACACCCCTCAAAGTCCATGCTTTTGAAAACAGGAAGATGTAGCCATTTTATTTATCGTATTGCACATGGGAATATGCACACCATTTGATTTGCTTTTTTGGGTGTTTCTATAAAAAGTGAGTAAATATCTACTGCTGCTGAAAACAAAGGAGAAACATTTCATGGGTAATTTGTCTGTCCAAGTCTGTTTTCAAAGTTTAAATTAGGCTTTGGAAGTGAAGAAGAGCTCCAGGACAATGACACTTACTAAGTTAAAGTTGTTTTTTTTTGTTGTTTTTTTACACGACCTTTATATATCACAAGGAGCCTGTCTCAAAAAAACAAACGAATAAATAAATAGATACATAAAACAAAGCAGATATTGCGCACACACACACACACACACACACA